TTTCCCTTAATTATTTTAAGCATGAGCAAGCTTTTTCTTTCTGAAAAATCTTACATCAAATAGAAGTAGAATATGAAAGATACACCCTTTAATCCTATTTATAAGACAAAGAGAGAAATTTGTTTTATCCTAATTATAAGTCACTTCATTAAAATTTCAACACAAATTTTGCCTTTTACCCTTTATTGAATGTTGAAGAAAGAAAATGTGTTATTAAGGTATATATATTTAATAAGGATAAAGTTAAAATTTTATTAAAGTTGAGAATTTATTAAATTTTAAGAAAGGGTTAATGAATTTTAAATTTTTTTTTATTTTGATGAAATATGTTAGAAGTGACTTATAAATAGGATTAGAAGAATATACACAAGGTTTTTTTTTAAAAAGGAATAGGCTTTTAACTATTCTCACAAGATCATTCGATATCCTGAATTACCAAGTAATGTGATGTCTTAACCTTGAAAAATGGTGTAATGTACCCTACCGTTAAATGACATATCCTCAAAACGCTTTTTCGTTGAACTTGAACGGTTAAAATCTATCAATATTTCAAACCACACCTTCAATAGGGAGTCCGAGATTGACAATGATGGAAGAGGAATGGCGAGAAATGAAAGATGATCAATGATAAGGCGAGACTCAAGAGGAAGAGTGACAGAGGTGATTGATGGCAAAGACCGAAGATGATGAGAGATAAAGCATGGCTTTTAAAGAGAGAGAGAGAGATATACAAGCTGAAAGTGAATCGAGAAAGAGTCAAAAGTGTTAAAACAGTAAAAGTATTTTGAGAATTTCAATATTATGGACCCCAATTCTCTTCTAGAAGGCAACGAATAATGCAGACCGAAGGGTGCATATAACACACCTATTAGTTAGTGCTGCGGAAGCACAAAAAGTGATAGTTGTCATATATTGTGGAGCTAGCATGTGTTTCATTTAAGGCACTAAAAACTAGATCAGCCATTAAATAAATTGTTCAAGGGTCTATGTTCCAACTATGGTTGAATGGAGGTTAAGCTAATTAAAGCCAATAATTTAAGTTAAACCGACAGGCGAACCTAAATAAACCTGAAAAAATTTAGGGCTAGAATTAACGAAATAATGATTTTTTAATGTTTGGCCTAGAAAAATTTGGGCCAAATCCAATTGAGTTTAGGCTTGGCCCAAATACCTAAATAAAAAATTATACTTGTAAAAAATATATTCCCTCTATTAAAAAATGTAATGTAATTTTTGAAAAGTTTGATATTCAAAAATATAAGGTATTTATAGTCTTTCAAGATGTAATTATTGCCTTTTTTCAAAAAGGCCCCTATTGATAATGAATTTATATTTATTGTTGGGTGTTTAATAGAGATAAATATGAAAAGATAGGGTTAGTTTGAAAGTAAATAACAAATTTATTGGGAGATGAGATTCGGAACAAAAATGCCTTACATTTTTGAATGGAAGGAGTATAAAATAAATAAATATTAAGTAGTTCTTTAAGTTTTAGGTCATTTTATACTAAAATATCATATATTTAGGTGCATTACTGTATATTTTTTAAAAAATTTAAAATATTTATATTGTCATATTTTTTTAATTTATAAAATATCTTGAAATAATATTTAAAATAAATTTTAATATTGATTTTTAGATTTTAAGACCTGTGTATTTTAAAAAAAAATTTGAATTCTATACATTGTTTAAGTGTCCAAAAATATATTTTATATTTTTATAAAATAAAAATAATTAATTTTAAAGTAAAAAATTTAATTTAATTTAATTTTAAAAATAAAAATGCTAGTATTTAGGTTGCTTGAAGCCTGAACAATTTGGATCAGGTTTAGCTATTCAAACTTTTAGAAAGTTCAAACCTATTTGGATTGAGCTCATTTGGTCTGAGCTCGAAGAAGCTTGGCTAGCTCAAATTACTAGTTGTAAAATGAATTATGATTAAAACAATATAATTTAATTAAAATATAGAAAAATATTTATATAGTATCTTGAAAAGAGTAATATTCAATAAAAAGGTATTACCGCAAGTAAATGAGAGATTCATGTATAAATCACATATAATCCAATAAGACATGATTATTAAGGCATAGTTTGTTGAACTATTATTATTTTTTATTTTTTAATTCAAAATGATGTCATTTCAAACTTAGTAAGGAAATAGAAAAAAAATATTCAATATTCAATCAAATAATTCAAAACTCTTGATCAGACCAGGCAAGGGATTGGTTCGTTGTTCTAATTGGCCAACTAAGTTGAATTTCAATACTATAGTTTCATTAATAAATGTATCTATATACTTATAGTATGAAAAGATCAAATTGTCCTTGAAGGAAAAAAATCATTGGAGAATGACATATAGGTTCCGGGTAATGAAACTAATTACTTACAAATCTCATCTACCTGATATAGAAATTTGACTTATAAATGAACTAAAGAAATAACTAATTTCTCCATTCAAGTACTTATTTTAATTCTTTCAAAAATCATCTTGCCTACCCAAATTTCAAGACTTTCAAACGAATGAAATGATGAAGGAGGAAGAGAAGGGGGATGACATTGCTTTTTTTTTTTTTTTTTGAGATTGCACGTGATATGTTATATGTCAATAAAGCTCAATAATGATACTTTATAAATTTATTTTTTTAAAATAAACTATAAATTTTTAAAAATTAACTCTATATACTTAATCATTACAAAATCATTTTAATTTCCCCTCTATCTAAGGATATATTGAAAATATGATTAATAAATATTTTATTTTTATCAATTATTTTATATTTTCAAACAAAAAAACAAGGTATATTATAATTTGGGATAGAGATACTATAATTCATTGTTTTACCAAAAAATAGTATAACTAATTGTTTTTAGGACCAGATAGTTAGTCATATCATTGACTGGAGTTGTTAAAAGCTTGCTTAGATCAAAAAGCCATTTTCATGATAGACTGCCTGTTTGAATAGGAAAATTAATTGATTTTGGGGGTAAATTCATCGTTGAAGTGAAAATTACAATCGATTATTCAAATAAGTTGTGGGTGGCATCTTAAGAATTCAATATACCATTAAAATACTAATTATTTATAAGAGTCTTTCACTTGCCTGATTCTAATTTTATGTATCATAAAAGAGAAGATTAAATAGAGCTTGAGGAAGATCATCATATTGATGAATATTCATCCTTATCTCATTCATAACATTTTCATTAGATATAGTTCATATTTGTAATGTCATTAGAGATCAATTTGTATATTATCATTTTTATTAGTTATTGTAAATTGATGTTTGATATTTAAGAATTAAATTTTTCTCTTTTATTAAATTTATTTGAACTAAGATATATTGAGTTATTTATTTACATAAATTAAAATGTTAATATTAATATAGTTTAAATTTTTTAATTAATCAGATATATAATTTAAATTGTATTTTACTTTTAAATAAAATTTTAAAAAATTTAATAATATTAGATACAGATTTATCAATCATTTAATTTTGAAAAGCCATATTTTTTATGGTAATTTGTACAACTAAAATTAATTCTGACTAAATTATCCAAGCATCTTCAATTCTGTTAAATTAATTTTTAAAAAATAGTATCAAAACAGATTACATTTTAATATAATCAATTATAATTAAAATCATTATATTAATTAATTATTTTTATAATCAACTATATCCAACTAAAATCTAAACCGGATTCAGAGTTGGGTTGGATCAAGTTGAATAGCCATTGAACTAAAAATTAAAGTTTAACTAGAAACCCAAACAATTTTAGAAAACCGAATGAATCTAAAGTCTAAACATAAATAAAAAAGTAAAATTTTTGAAAAAAACCAAAAAATTCAAAATTAGACCTTATTAAAGTCTACTTCATTTTGGACCTTCACATATTATATACATATATAATATGATTGAGCATACATATGATAATTTAGCCAAGATCTACATATTTATTCTAAATTATTAAAACTATAAAATAATTTAATAATATATATATTTAAATATGATATATTTAGGAATATTTCTATTAATTTTAATATATATATATTCTTAGTATGCTATAGTGGTATTTCTTAATATAGTGATTTTTCTTTTTTATATTTTTTAATTTATTTTAATTTAATTACTACACCACTACTGATGTGTATCGGTTGGATTATAAAAAATGAGTTCTGCTAAATTTTTGGTTTAAAATTCGTTTTGATTTTAAAAACTTCACACTATACTTGACATTGAATATATTTATACTAGTTTACATTTAGATTTCTACCAAGCAAAAAAAAAATGTTTCTTCTTTAATTAGTAAATTTTTGCAATTCCAAATTTCACAAAAAACCACCTTTTCAAATAACATGCTATTGATAAAGGATAATTTAATTGATAAGGAATTCATAACCTATAAGATCATATAATTAAATTTTATTACTGATGTGATAACTTTGTTAATAAGCAATTTATAAATACTTTTATGAGTTTTTTTCTAACTTGAGAACATGTTTTGGTTTTAGTGAATCTTCAGACTCCTCATATAAAACTTTTCATTAAAAAAATAAATAAATATGCCAATTTGTTGAGTTAAAAAAAAAAAAATCTAGTTTCCAATTTAACCCCTTCTACGTGTACCAGCTGTTTGTGCAGGTTTTTTTTTTTAAAAAAATAATTGAAAAAACACAAAGAGTAACGGACTGGAGCGGGTCCCAGCGAGTGAAAGCGTGCACAAGTCATGTGGTCGTGGAAACGGACCTTATTGTCCTACCTCCACCTTCCTCGCTTGGATTTTTGTTCTTCTTTTAATGAAAAGCTTTAAACTTGAAAATATAAAACCGGGAAATTAGCAAAAAGCTCTGATAGATATCTGATTTTATTCATAGAAGAAAGAGAGAGAAAGAGAAACGGCGCTTTGTGTTTTCGCTGGGCTCTTTTCAGTTTTCATATATGCAGCAGCACACATCTCAAGCAACCCAGGCTCTTATGGAAGCTGCTATCTAGAGCGACCGAGCGTGATCGATCTTTCTGTAACGGCTAGTTTCGAGAGTGGCGAGAAGAGAGTGAGAGAGAAGGACTGTGATCACTGAGCAGAGTTTTGGTGCTGCTGTTGATATGGATTACGACAATGACAAGTAAATCTCTGTTTTTCTCTGGGTATTTCTTGGTGTGATCGGTTTAAATGGATGGGTTAGTCTGGTTTAGGAAGGCAAACTTTAGGAGTGCACTTCGGGTTTTGGCTTTGAAGATATTGTGACTTGTTCAATCTGGTTTATCTTCATTTCTATGTACATTCTATTTGGGGTTTCACGAATCACGTACACCCGGGATCCCTGTTTGTCTCTTTTGCTGTCCACTCTGTGCTTTTCTATTTCTGTAACTGCCTTTCCGGTGGTCATAAAACTCCAGAGATTGTTAAATTGTGCGAGATTCTGAGGATGAGGAAAGGTTGGGGATGGGGGTTTTTGATTTAATTGTTGGTTCATCAATTGCATCCTGGGTACTTTCTTGTATTTTTGTTACTTTCTCCCCTTAACAGTTATGCTTGTACTACTTTTTTTGGGGAAACAGCTTGTTCTAATACTTTAATAAAAGAGTAAAGCCGTTTAAAACACATAAGCATGATTGCTTTTCTTTGTGTAAGATCTCATTTATTGGCTACTGGGTTGTAATTAGTGTTGCAGTGGACCATGCTATTAATATCAATGCTACTCGCTTTGGAATGGCTAGTCTACAATTTAATTATGATTACAGCTTTTATCCGGGGCTGAGCTCAGTATATACCCAATGATATCTTCTGTGTTGGTGATGGCGCAAACTTATTGTGTATTTTCTCTCTGTAATATTTCTGGCTGGCTGGCTTTATATCAGTCGATGTTGAACTGCCCCCACGGCATTTACATGTCTCCCATTTCTTTTCTTAATGTTGCTAGGAAACCATGGGATTGGCAGAAGGAGGATCATTGTCTCCAAAAGGCTTCCAATATGAGTAAGTTCCACCTAGGCTTCAAGTTAATTCTTTCAGATAACTGATGCTAGAGAAAATGTTATTGGTTTGTTCAGGCATGTCTCAGGAGCTATGGAATGAAGTACCTCAAAATGAGGAAGATCTTTCCTACATGTTTGATGATGAAACAACCCCAGTTAAGGCTTGTGGAGATTTGGCTTACCATGTCAATAATAATGGTAAGGCAGTCTTTTTGACCCTATCTAATTAATATGTGCAACTTGTCATATTGTTCTTTTTTCCTTTTTATTATTGTTATCCTACTTTAATTTAAATAAAAGTGAATTTCAGATAATTCACAGAGTGAACTAGAGGAATGTAGAGAGACTTCTCAAGTGAAGAGGCGTCGGATGCTACAATTCAGCAGTGAAGATGGGGACCTTTCCATGTCCTGCGATGACATGTCCTCAGAATACCTTAAATTAAATGTGAGTTATGGTAGTTTTTTCTATAACTGACTCTTCATGCCCAAAGCATGCCAGATGGTTGATGGTTCTAGCTTCTAACAATATACAAGTTATTTTGGTTAGATACCTCACCATTTTGATATTACCTTTGGCTTGTTGATGAATGGTAGCATGGCTTCGTGTAATTTGTCTCAGTTTTCTTCTCTTTGGTTTCTCTTCCTTGTTATTATACCTATATCTTTCATCATCACCTTGTTTGAATAAAAATTAGTGACTTTGTTTGCGTTATTATTCAACTGATTTTGCTACAAAGTGGAGCTTATTCACAGATTTCCTTCTTAGTATTTTTATTATGATGATGATGGTTTGGCGTACAATTCTGTCTACTTATTCATCTAGGATGACTGTTAATCATATGCAGGATCCAAACTTGTCGACGAAGCATTTGCATTGCATTAGTCCTCTTTGTGGATAGGGGATCTAGTCTTCCACATAGTTCTAAGTTTTCTTGTCTTTTGCATATATTCTTTCAAGAGTGCATGAGTTTCAGCGAGTCAGATCCTAAAAAGATTGTTATTCCATTATGTATACAGGGGAAGGACTCTATGAAAGATGTTTTTTTCGAAGTTTCACAATTGATATCATCAGGTTTGCCTATTGCTAATCCTTCTTTGATTGCATAGTTTGGATGTTTTATTTTTGGATCTTTCTTCAATCATGATGGAATATGTATTAGGAAATACATCTGGCTCCAGTTGTGATGATCTTGAGCATTCAGCCGAAGGGTGGCTTGCACAGTGCTTTAATGATGCTGAGATGGATTTTAGTCCTGATGATATTATGTATGTCTCTCCAAATCTGATTTTTGGCATATATTCATTTTTACACAATAAATTGATACTTATATTTTCTGATTCAGGAATCTCTCGGAGCAAGACAAGATTAATGTTTCAGGTACATGACATGGCTCACAAATCAATTCATTATTCTTTGATTTTTTTTTCCCTTCTTCCTTCTTTCCTGTATGTATTTATCTAGGAAAAGCCTTGCCTAAAGTTCTTTAGGTATCCAGCTCTCCTACCAAATCTTCTTCATGTTATTCATACTATTAGCCATGCCTTGCAGATCTCTGTGATGTCTCACCAGCTTTTGAACAAAATGTGGTTCAGCAGCGTGTCACTGGAAACACCCAAAAATATAATCTTTAAAGGTTTAACTTCGTTTCTATGTGGTTTTCTTTTCAAGATATCCTCTTAGGTTCTATTGAATTATCCTCTAGTGACATGGAACTTAAGGAAATCCCCTTTTATGCTTTATATGATACTGATATGTAAGAATGTAACAACATCCTTAACCAATAAATTGTAGTGAACAACACCATAAGAGTTTTTGAGATGAAATTCTAACTACTTCAGGCTGGTTTTATGCGTGTAGGAAGGAAGTCTTTCATACGAGCACCCACAAAACTGGCTTCTTCAGTGGCCTATCCATTTGCCTTCATCAAACCCAGTGGTGCTCATGGAGATGTAACTCTGAAGGAAATAAACCAGCGGATTCAGACTCCACCTCCTTCAAAACCTAAGAGAAGCAGTGAAGAAGATCCCTCTGCTTACCCTAAATCAGCCTTCTCAGGGAAGCCCGTAGTTGGGAAAACCAAAATTGCACTGAAGGAGGAAAGGCAGCATTACAATCATGAGAACTAAAGGCTAAAGTGTAAGTTATCAAGTACTAACATTTTGTCTCACCCCTTAATACATGGGGTCTAGTTGATCTTCTGTAATATATATATCCGGCAGACTACAGAAGTTAATGCTGCAACTTTTTCCTCCTTATATTGACACTTTAGTGTTGCTTGTCTTATTCATAGTTCATGATTTGACCTAAATCTGTAATGAGATGATGTTCCTTAGCTCCAAACAACTCCGTGGCTTTAGAATGCCAAGCCATTATGTTGTTTAAGTAGGTAGTTCGACTTTGGTTGTTGCGCTCCTGCATTGGAAAGTCTGGCTAAGGCGCTTCCAACCCCTGGTTAAGGACCTTTTTACCAAGCTTGAGCTTGATTCTTGTAATTGAATCACATAGACATTTGTTCCAATCTTATTTCTTGTCTTTTATGCACTTGCCATGTATTCTCCTTTTCCTTATTTAGGCTTGTCTTTCAGCAGTCCCTAACCCTCCCTTTTCATCTCATGGCTTAGAAAAATATCCAGTTAAAAAAAGGAGTACACAGAAAATATATAATGCATTAGTTTACCTTTCATTCCTATCATGATTTGAGGCTTTGATTTTTATTTTATTTTTTAATGGCCAACCAACACATGCCTCAGGTTGAGTTGGTGTCTTTTCTGTCTCCAAACTAATACATGGCTCGGGTTGAGTTGGGGTATTCTGGCTATAATTTGACACATACTGTTCTTAGGAGCTGGTTTCTTCATGGCATGTGTGCTTGTACTATTAAATGGTGATTGTTTTAGACAGAGTCCTGTATGCCTTCATGATGCTACCCACATGTTTCAATTAAAAAAAGAAAAAAAGAAAGAAAAGAAAGAAAAAATTAATCACTTGGTCCTTATAGTTTTGACTCAGTTATAATTCAGTCTTTAAACTTTGACTCATTATAATTAATCCAATTTGAAGTTTTGACTGGTTGTTAAATTGGTCTTTGAATTTGCCTCTAACAATTTAGTTTCTGAAATTTCAACCTTTAAATATCGGTCCTTATAAAATTATAAAGAGTAAAAATTTTTAAACTTTTAATTTTATAAATATTAAAAGGGTTTAGTAATTTAAGATATTAGTAATAATTTTAAAATATTTATAATCTTTATAATTTTATTTTTTAAAATATAGGGACATATATTTAAGAGATTAAAACTTTAAGGATTAAATTGTAAGAGGTAAAACTCAAAGAATATTTACAATTGAGTCAAAATTTTAAAGACTAAGTTATAACTAGTTAAAGTTGAGGGATGACTGAGTTAAAATATAAGAGGATAAAGATTAATTTTTCAAAAACCAGACAGGAGGCAATTTGTGGACACGCATCCAACAGAAAATTAGTATCTAAACAAGTGTTGATTTGATCTTGGAACTTTAACTTATGACTCTAAACGTAACTTTATTTAATTACGCCTTTCGTCCTAAATTATAAGACATGTTTAGATAAAATTTTATATACCAATAAATCTCAATAAATACACCTAACAATCTTTTCAAATAAAAATACAAGCTTTCAAAAATATTCATAATTTAATATATTGAAAACAGAAGGGACATAAATTAATTATAAAGAAAGAAAGAGTAATATTAGAATTGCCGCATTTAATGAAACTTGAATTTATTCAAAATGTCTTATATTTTAAAACGAAAAAACTCCTTCAAAAGTGTCCTATAATTTGGAATGGAAGGAGTATTATGTTTAACTAACTTTCTTATACTATAAGTTCATTAAAGTTTGCTTACATTTAAAAACTTTTAAAACTGAGGAAATATGTTCATTTGATCTTCGAACTTGATACTGCATCACTGTTACTCCCTGCAATTGTTTTTGGCGGGGGAGTGGGCCGAGTAGCCAACTGACGCTTTACAAGGGAATCAATTTGGGACGGGCCACCACAATCATTAGTCTGAGAAAGGCCCAATGTTGGAACGATGAAATTTTAAAACTCTGGCCCTAAAGATGACACCACAAAATTTCTTGTTGCCCACAGTTATCTCTTATAAAAAGCAATTCTATTTAGGATATTATAAAGTACCGAAATGTGGAGATCTCTCTGAGCAAAAATTTAAATCTCGATCCCACACATATGCTCATTTTTCATATAAAAAGAAAGTCAGATATGACACTTATAGGTTTGGTTTTGAGCTTAAAATATTATCAAATAATCAAATAATTAGATGAAAAAATGTATCCACCCTTTTTAACA